TGTATGTATGTGTTTATTTGTTTGTTAAAGTATTTGCTTCATATTGCTTGCAAATGACTTAGAAATATATATACAATAAAAACTGAGCTTGCTTTGTTCATATACTCCACTACTTCTGTTTACTGCATTTTATTGGCATCCAGTACAAGATATTTATTTTCCTTGCTACACTCTTCTTGAGAAGCTGGACTGCTGATAGGCATCAATTTTGTTTAGCAGACACTAGGACCATTGCCTTTCATGTGTTGCTTAATTAACACAGTATAAAGAATATGTGGCCATGGATCAGCATTACTAAAAATCTAATACTGTTTAATGGTTAAATTTATCCTTTCCTAAATGAATTCTGATGAATTTTCTCTCACTTTTTTATTTGGACAATTGCAGTGCAGTATTTGTTACTGGTTATAGTTTATATCTTTTGCATCACTCATTGTACAATATTTAATTGTGCAATTTTGTTTTAGTTATACTTCATCTGTCTTTTCTATTTTAGGCTTCTTATTCATTTTAGTCCCATGCAGTTCACGTTTATTAGATGAAATTTTCACCACCTGTCTGGGTCCTTACAGTGGCCTGGTGGCAAAAGCTCTTGCTTAACACGCTGAGGGGTCTGGGTTCAATTCCCAGCAAAGGGTCGAAACATTGAGCATGTTTTCTTACACCAGTTGTCTAAGTTCACCCATCAGTAAAATGGGTACCTGGGTGTTAGTCGACAGGTGTGGGTCGCATCCTGGTACAAAACTGACCTGATTTGCCTGAAATGCTCTGCATAACAAGAGGCTTTCTATGTAGTAGTATGTCATTGATGTCAGCTAGGCCTGTATACCTTGTACATGTATTTGTAGAAATAAAGATATTTTTTATTATTATTATTAACACATTAGCTGTCTCCCACCAAGGCAGGGTGGCCAGAAAAAGAAAAACTTTCATCATCATTCACTCCATCACTGTCTTGCCAGAGTCGCACTTACACTACAGTTATAAAACTGCAACATTAACACCCCTCCTTCAGAGTACAGACACTGTACTTCCCATCTCCAGGACTCAAGTCCGGCCTGCTGTTTTCTGTGAATCCCATCATAAATGTTTCCTTGCTCACACTCCAACAGCACATCAGGTCCTAAAAGCCATTTGTCTCCATTTGCTCCTATCTAATGTGCTCATGCATGCTTGTTGGATATCAAAGCCCCTTGCACAAAACCTCCTTTACCCCCTCCCTCCAACCTTTCCTAGGCCGACCCACCCCTACCCTGCCTTCCCTCCACTACAGATAGATACACTCTTGAAGTCATTCTATTTCATTCCACTCTCTCTACATGTCCGAACCGCCCCAACAACCCCCCCTCAACCCTCTGGATAATAGTTTTGGTAATCCTGCACCTCCTCCTAATTTCCAAACTACGAATTGTCTGCATTATTTTCACACTACACATTGCCCTCAGACATGACATCTCCACTGCCTCCAGCTTTCTCCTTGTTGCAACATTCACCACCCATGTTTCACACCCATTTAAGAACATTGGTTTAACTATACTCTCATACATTTCCTTCTTTGCTTCCATGGACAAGGTTCTTTATCTCTACAGATTCCTAAGTGCATCACTCTTCTTTTTCCCTCATCAATTCTATGATTCACCTCATCTTTCATAGGCCCATCTGCTGACACGTCCACTCCCAAATATTTACCTGGAGTTTACCTGGAGAGAGTTCCGGGGGTCAACGCCCCCGCGGCCCGGTCTGTGACCAGGCCTCCTGGTGGATCAGAGCCTGATCAACCAGGCTGTTGCTGCTGGCTGCACGCAAACCAACGTACGAGCCACAGCCCGGCTGACCAGGAACTGACTTTAGGTGCTTGTCCAGTGCCAGCTTGAAGACTGCCAGGGGTCTGTTGGTAATCCCCCTTATGTGTGCTGGGAGGCAGTTGAACAGTCTCGGGCCCCTGACACTTATTGTATGGTCTCTTAACGTGCTAGTGACACCCCTGTTTTTCATTGGGGGATGTTGCACGTCTGCCAAGTCTTTTGTTTTCGTAGTGAGTGATTTTCGTGTGCAAGTTCGGTACTTGTCCCTCTAGGATTTCCAGGTGTATATAATCATGTATCTCTCCCTCCTGCATTCCAGGGAATACAGGTTTAGGAACCTCAAGCGCTCCCAGTAATTGAGGTGTTTTATCTCCGTTATGCGCGCCGTGAAAGTTCTCTGTACATTTTCTAGGTCGGCAATTTCACCTGCCTTGAAAGGTGCTGTTAGTGTGCAGCAATATTCCAGCCTAGATAGAACAAGTGACCTGAAGAGTGTCATCATGGGCTTGGCCTCCCTAGTTTTGAAGGTTCTCATTATCCATCCTGTCATTTTTCTAGCAGATGCGATTGATACAATGTTATGGTCCTTGAAGGTGATATCCTCCATACTTTCTCCATCCAATCTGATATTCAATCTTTCTTCACCTAATTTTTTTTGTTATCCTTATCACCTTGCTCTTTCCTATATTCTCTTTTAATTTTATTCTTTTACATGCCCTATCAGACTCATCCACCAGCCTCTGCAACTTCTCTTCAGAATCTCCCAAAAGCACAGTGTCATCAGCAAAGAGCAATTGTGACAACTCCCACTTTGTGTTAGATTCTTTATCTTTTAAACTCACACCTCTTGCCAACACCCGAGCATTCACTTTTTTTACAACCCCATCTATAAATATATTGAACAACTATGGTGACATCACACATCCTTGTCTAAGCCTACTTTTACTGAGAAATAATCACCCTCTCTCCTACATAGTCTAACCTGAGCCTCACTATCCTCATAAAAACTCTTCACTGCTTTCAGTAACCTACCTCCTATACCATACATTTGCAACATCTGCCACATTACCCCCCTATCCACCCTATCATATGCCTTTTCCAAATCCATAAATGCCACAAAAACCTCTTTACCCCTTTCTAAATACTGTTCATGTATATGTTTCACTGTAAACACTTAGTCTACACATCCCCTACCCTTCCTAAAACTTCCTTGTTCATCTGCTATCCTACTCTCCGTCTTACTCGTAATTCTTTCAATAACTCCACCATACACTTTACAAGGTATACGCAACAGACTTATCCCCCTATAATTTTTGCACTCTCTTTTGTCCCCTTTTCCTTTATACAAAGGAACTATGCATGCTCTCTGCCAATCCCTAGGTATCTTACCCTCTTCCATACATTTATTAAATAAAAGCACCAACCACTCCAAAACTATATCGCTACCTGCCTTTAACATTTCTATCTTTATCCCACCAGTCCCTGTTGCCTTACCCCCTTTCTTTCTACCCACTGCCTCACGAACTTTCCCCACACTCACAACTGGCTCTTCTTCATTCCTACAAGATGTTATTCCTCCTTTCCCTATACACAAAATCACAGCTCCCTATCTTCATCAACATTTAACAATTCCTCAAAATATTCCCTCCATCTTCCCGATACCTCTAACTCTTCATTTAATAACTCTCCTCCCCTATTTTTAACTATCAGATCCATTCGTTCCCTAGGCTTCCTCAACTTATTAATCTTATTCCAAAACGTTTTCTTATTTTCAAAAAAATTTGTTGATAACATCTCACCCACTCTCTCATTTGCTCTCTTTTTACATTGCTTCACCACTGTTTTAACCTCTCTTTTTCTCTCCATATAATCCTCCCTCCTTGCATCATTTCTACTTTGCAAGAACCTCTCATATGCTAACTTTTTCTCCCTTACTACTCTCTCCATTATTATTATTGTTATTATTATTATTATTCTTATATTATTATATACACCTGGAAAATCCTAGAGGGACTAGTACCGAACTTGCACACGAAAATCACTCACTACGAAAGCAAAAGACTTGGCAGACGATGCAACATCCCCCCAATGAAAAGCAGGGGTGTCACTAGCACGTTAAGAGACCATACAATAAGTGTCAGGGGCCCAAGACTGTTCAACTGCCTCCCAGCACACATAAGGGGGATTACCAACAGACCCCTGGCAGTCTTCAAGCTGGCACTGGACAAGCACCTAAAGTCAGTTCCTGATCAGCCAGGCTGTGGCTCGTACGTTGGTTTGCGTGCAGCCAGCAGCAACAGCCTGGTTGATCAGGCTCTTATCCACCAGGAGGCCTGGTCACAGACCGGGCCGTGGGGGCGTTGACCCCCGGAACTCTCTCCAGGTAAACTCCAGGTAATACTCATTGTATGTGATACAAGTAATTTTCCTCATTGCTTATCCTTCAGAATTTTTGAATGTTTGGTCAACTTTTACTGAAGTATATTTGAGATCAGTTTTTTTTTACATATCATCCATTTCCCACCAAAGCATGAAGATCGAAAGAAAACATATTTGCTACCACTTGCTCTTTAATATTTTTAACTACATCCCAAAATTAGAGCATTTAGCATTCCGACCCTTATTGGTTTGTACAGTATTGGTGATAAATGAGTCACTTGTGCAACATTTGGGTATCTTTATTCTGGAAACATTTCACCACACAGTGGCATCTTCAGTCCAATGCAGAGAAAAGTGAATTTTTTATTTATTATTGTAATCAAAAAGAAGCACTAAGCCACAAGGGCTATACAGAGAGAAAAGTGAAAGAAGAGGAGGTGTTTGAGGTAATCAGTCGATGTGTTCAGTTCAGCTTTGTAAACCATTTGTTCATGTACAGTATTGGTAAAATATCACTATTTTATTAACAGCCTGCTATGATTTTATTTAACATATAATGGTACTGTCTCTGTTAACAGGTTTTCTTGAAGCTTAAGAATAATCTTTCATAATTACTGCACTTCCTTCTTAGTGTTGTTGTTAAAATCTTAGCACACTGCTGCACATTGTAAATATTAAAATTATTTATAGCACAGATTAATACCAAATTCTGGCTGTATTTGCTTTTGCTGTAATTGCACCACTGCTGGCCCAGCTGCACCCTTTTCAAACCATGCATATACCTCGCTTTTTTTTCATAATAAGCCACCCTTACAGACGAGTGTGCCTCTTCTCCATGCTTCAATGGTGCCACATGCATCGACGGCCTGGGATCCTTCATTTGTGACTGTGCCCATGGATATAGTGGCGAAAAATGTGAAATTCCAGGTAAGGTACTAAATTAATAGAAACAGGATTAAATCTCCATTTAATTATAAAGAGCATATACCAGTCTATGTACAGAATTATGTATTTTAAAAGGTCTTAGAGATGAGAGAAGTTGGTTATAGTAATTGTATACATGTATACACCTAAGGGTGAGAAGTGTGTAGAGGAGAGATTTGGGGAGGTGTTATGTGAATGTTTAGAGAGTTTAAGCCACCAGGCCATGGTGCCCCGTAGCCTGGTGGCAAAAGCTCTCGCTTCACATGGTGATGGTGAGGGTCCGCGTTTGATTTCTGGTGAAAGGGTGGAAACATTGGACGTGTTTCCTTACACTGGTTGTCTATGTTCACCCATCGTAAAATGGGTACCTGGGTGTTAGTCGACTGGTGTGAGTCGCATCCTGGGACAAAATTGACCTAATTTGCCTGAAATGCTCTACATAAACTGTCGTAACTGAGCATCTCTGCAAAGACAGTGATTATGTATGAGTGATGGTGAAAGTGTTGAATGATGAAAGTATTTTTATTTCTTTTTGGGTCACCCTGCCTCGGCAGGAAACAGCTGATGTGTTAAAAAAATATAACAGTTATTGAAAAGGTTATGGGTAAGGAAGAAAGTAGGATTGCAGAGGACCAGGGAGAATACAGGAAGGGTAAGGGATGGGTAGACTAAATGTTTATATTGAAGCATAAGAGTGGGTAGTACCTAGATAAGGGTAAGGAGTGGTTTGTTGTATTTATGGATTTGGAGATGGCATATGACAGTAAAAGTAAATGTGGGTCTTAGGGATGTGTAATGTCACCAAGGTTGTTTAACATATATATATATATATATATATATATATATATATAGATGGGGTTGTAAGAGAAGTAAATGCTAGGGTGTTGGGGAATCAAATACAAAATGGGAATTGACACAGTTACTTTTTGCTGATGATACTGTGCTTTTGGAAGATTCTAAAAAAAAGCTGCAAAGGTTAGTGGACGAGTTTGGGAGGGTGTGTAAATGTAGAAAATTGAAAGTTAACATAGATAATAGTAAGGTGATGAGGGTATCAAATGATTTAGATAAAGAAAAATTGGACATCACATTGGAGGGAGGGAATATAGAAGAAGTAAATTATTTATTTTTTTATTTAATATCACACTGGCCGATTCCCACCAAGGCAGGGTGGCCCGAAAAAGAAAAACTTTCACCATCATTCACTCCATCACTGTCTTGCCAGAAGGGTGCTTTACACTACAGTTTTTAAACTGCAACATTAACACCCCTCCTTCAGAGTGCAGGCACTGTACTTCCCATCTCCAGGACTCAAGTCCGGCCTGCCGGTTTCCCTGAACCCCTTCATAAATATTACTTTGCTCACACTACAACAGCACATCAAGTATTAAAAACCATTTGTCTCCATTCACTCCTATCAAACAAACTCACGCATGCCTGCTGGAAGTCCAAGCCCCTCGCACACAAAACCTTCTTTACCCCCTCCCTCCAACCTTTCCTAGGCCGACCCCTACCCCGCCTTCCTTCCACTACAGACTGATACACTCTTGAAGTCATTCTGTTTCGCTCCATTCTCTCTACATGTCCGAACCATGTCAGTGGATGGGTTTATGAAGGATGAGGTTAACCATAGCATTGATGAAAAAAAAGTGAGTGGTGCATTGAGGTATCTGTGGAAAAAAAAAAAAATGTTATCCTCAGAGGCAAAGATGGGAATGTACAAGAGTACAGTGGTACCAACACTCTTATATGGGTGTGAGGCATGGGTTGTAAATACTGCAACAGGGAGGAGGCTGGAGGCAGTGGAGATGTTGTGTCTAAGGGCAATGTGTGGTGTAAATATTATGCAGAGAATTCATAGTGTGGAAATTAGGAGGTGTGGAGTTACTCAAAGTATTAATCATAGGGCTGAAGAGGGGTTGTTGAGGTAGTTTCGTCATTTAGAGAGACTGGAACTAAGTAGAATGACTTGGAGAGCATATAAATCTGTAGGGGAAGGAAGGCAAGGTAGGGGTCATCCTCAAAAAGGTTGGAGAGAAGGGGTAAAGGAGGTTTTGTGAGGGAGGAGCTTGGACTTCCAGCAAGCGTGCGTGAGCGTGTTGGATAGGAGTGAATGGAGATGAATGGTTTTTGGGACCTGATGAGCTGTTGGAGTGTGAGCAGGGTAATATTTTATGAAGGGATTCAGGGACACCTGTTAGCTGGACTTGAGTCCTGGAAATAGGAAATACAATGCTTGCATTTTAAAGGAGGGGTTTGGGATATTGGCAGTTTGGAGGGACATCTAAACTGTCGTATCTGAGCATCTCTGCAAAGACAATGATTATGTATGAGTGATAATGAAAGTGTTGAATGATGAAAGTTTTTTTCCTTCTTTATGGGTTTTTCTTTCTCTTTTGGTCACCCTGCCTGGGTGGGAAATGGCTGACATGTAAAAAAAAAATATGACAGGGTTGCTAGAAGAGCCAGGGTTGCTAGAAGAGCCAGGGTTGCTAGAAGAGCATATGCATGTCTGGCAATGTTATACAATTTCCTGAGGTATGAAGTAGCAATACTGCTGGAGATGGAAGAAAAGGGGATGATGTCTCAGGGAATAGTGTTTAACACATTACCAGTAAAAACTGGTGGAAGCACTGATGTCTGTACCAGGGCTGTAGGTAGTGGAGAAACAGAAAAAAGTGTGCTGGTAGGGAACACAGCTACAAGAAATCCTGGCAAACAAAGATCCAGTCTATGCATATTCTATGCCTTGGGAATCTGCAAGCATGGTATATCTGGAAAAACATGTGGGACATTCATTTTTGACCATTCCAAAAAATGCTACTCCCACATGACAACAGAAGTGTGCAGCTTTTCATCTTGTAACTTATTTCACCCTGAAATGTGTCACTCGTTAGTTCATGGAAGAAAATGCTACAATGTATACTGTCAGGCACATCATATAAAGGGGACAAAAAGATACAGATCACCCTGACCATGGGAAACAAGAGGGGATCCAAAATCTCCAGAGAAGGTTTTTTAGTGCCAGGAAGGAAAAAAGATTGGCAAGAAATGACAGAAATCATACATTAACTGAAAACACTTCTGGAGCAGAGGCACAGTCATTGGCCTCTGCTCCAGAACAACAGATATTAACCCTTTCAGGGTCGACAGGCACTCTCGCAAACTTGTTCTCAGGGTAAAAAAATTTTTGAAAAAAAAAAAAAAAAAATTCTTATGAAATCATAGAGTTTTTTTTTGTGAGTATGCAAAGTCATGAAGACTGGAGAAAGGCAAAGAAGACCATAGACAGAGTATAGGCTAGGCAGCCAAAGACTGCAAACCTCACTCAAGGAGAAAGATCTAGGGGTGAGTATAATACCGAGTACATCACCAGAAGCACATATTAACCAGATAACTGCTGCGGCATGTGGGCATTTGGCAAACCTGAGAATAGCATTCTGGTACCTCAGTAAGGAATTGTTCAAGACTCTGTACACTGTGTATGCCAGGCCCATACTGGAGTACGCAGCACCAGTTTGGAACCCACACCTGGTCAAACACGTCAAGAAGTTAGAGACAGTGCAAAGGTTTGCAACAAGGCTGGTTCCAGAGCTAAGGGGAATGTCCTACGAAGAAAAGTTAAGGGAAATCGGTCTGATGACACTGGAAGATAGGAAGGTCAGGCAAGACATGATAACGACATACAAAATACTGCGTGGAATAGACAAGGTGGACAGAGACAGGATGTTCCAGAGATGGGACACAAACAAGGGGTCACAATTAGAAGCTGAAGACTCAGATGAGTCAAAGGGATGTTAGGAAGTATTTCTTCAGCCACAGAGTTGTTAGGAAGTGGAATAGTCTGGCAAGCGATGTAGTGGAGGCAGGAACCATACATAGTTTTAAGACAAGGTATGATAAAGTTCATGGAGCAGGGAGAGGGAGGACTCAGTAGCAGTCAGTGAAGAGGCAGGCCAGGAGCTGAGTCTCAACCCCTGCAATCACAATTAGGTGAGTACATATATAAAATGTGTGCACACACAAAACACACACATGCACACACACACGTGGGTGTATGACCCACTTAGTATTTGTATTTATAACTCATTACAATTGTGACCAGGTGTGGACGCATCAGTGGTTCATTACTTTGTAATTTGTTCATGACTGTAACCATGTATAGGAGTGAGGCTGATTCATTACCATTGTAACTTGCCATGATTGTGACCAGATCTACCTGAAGTTCATTACCTTTGTAACTAGTTCAGCTATCATAACTTTGGGGTCCAGTCCCTGGACCCATTATGTACCTTTGTAATCTTTTGACTACTGCCCACAGGATGGGTATGGGGTGCATAATAAAGATATTAAACTAACTAATTAAGCTAACACACACACACACACACACACACACACACACACACACACACACACACACACACACACACACACACACACACACACACACACACACACACACACACACACCACACACACTACAACACACAGATACACACATACACACATACACACATACACACACACACACACACACACACACACACACACACACACACACACACACACACACACACACATCGAGGGTATCATGTATGAAAGGCCCCTGGGAGCTAGTGATCATGTGGTTCTGTGCTTCGACTACATAGTTGAGCTCCAAGTGGAGAGAGTAGCAGGAATAGGCTGGGAAAAACCAAACTACAAAAGGGGGAACTACTCAGGCATGAGGAACTTCCTTCAAGACATTCAGTGGGAGAGGGAACTGACAGGAAAACCAGTACAAGAAATGATGGACTATGTAGCAACAAAATGCAAGGAGGCAGAGGAGAGGTTTGTTCCCAAGGGAAACAGAAATAATGGGAAGAACAGAACGAGTCCTTGGTTCACCCAAAGGTGTAGGGAGGCAAAAACTAGGTGTACTAGAGAATGGAAAAGGTACAGAAGACAGAGAACTCAGGAAAATAAAGAAATCAGCCGAAGAGCCAGAAACGAATATGCACAGA